ACGGTTTTGCCAAGAATGGTTGGACCAGCTGATCCTTGAGATGCCTTCCAACCTGGTATTCTGCGATTCTATGATTTCCCTTTAGTGGATTCACAGAAAACACTGTACCCATTCCCCCAAACAAAAGATGGAGAAAACAAAAGACAATGAAGACTATGGGGCAAAAAACCCGAAACCTAGCAGGTCTTTTTCAGTGTCTAAACCAGCAAATAAACAAACAAATACAGATTAACGGAATATATCTAGTTCTGAACATCTAGTCCCAATAATCAAATAATCGCTTTATCTAGGAGAACAGCTATCACTGCCAAAACTGCAAGAAGCCTCTGTCAGACACATCACTTGCAGCCAAAGCGAATGCTCCTTCCCTACTATCTCAGCTTTGCTTGAAACGTTATGGAACAAGAGTCCTTCGGTGGGAGCTTTTCAAGGTACCCCCCCTGGCCAGCACCCCTGACTAGGGAGAGCACCGAGTGAGAGCCAGGAGGGTCAAACACAGGAAAGAGCTGGAAGAGTCCTGGCGAGGAACCAGTTCTTGAGCAAAGCAGTCTTTATTTCTGGTCATAATAGTGATTTTTTTAAAAAATTAGTCAAAACTAATGAGGTTTTCTTGTACTACAAGCAGAGAAGCATTTCTAATGATCACATTTTGAGACCCAGCAAGACAATCTTTTGTCTTGGTCCAATCCAGCCATTTAAGCTAAACTGCACAGCCTCATGATCTTATAAAATCTTTCAACTATGAATTTTTTGGGGGAGAGTGCCCTGCAGGCTCCACTAGAAACAATAAACAGGTGTTTTCAGAGGCAAGAGGAGTTATTTTCCACATCACTACTGCATTAACAAATATTAGAGAGTGTTTTTCTCCTTTATTAGCTCATTTAATAGCCACCCTTCCTTCCTAATAACTCCATCTCCAAACATATAAAGCATTATCTTTAGTACAATGAGCTAATGGATATAAAAAATGATTAAATCAAGAGAAACAGGATCAATCTGATCAATCTTAGTCAAAAGGTACAAAAACACTAATTCAAATAATCTGGGGTTTTTTAAATAGTTTTAGACATACAAAAACATACTGATAGCTAACACTACTATCAATCCGAGTAAATTGACATAATTGATATTCAGCTCTAAAATTCAGTGTAAGGCCTTAATCACGGGCTTTCTGATATCTCTGTTGCCCTTGATTAAAAGTTGGAACAACTGCATTAGTCTAAATGAAGATTTTTTTTTTCTTTCCTTGTGCTTTCATTAAAGCAAGCTGAGAAGAACTTTTAAGATTACAGTATGCTTTCACTAGACAAATTTAACTTTAAATACACGTATATAATATTCTTACTATTAGTGTAAATACCAACAAGTCAATTACAGTTCTGCAGTAATTAAATCTTTGGTTTGCAGCAAACTATGTATAAAATTATCTTTGTTGAGAAATGTTGCGATAGATAAATTTTTATCAACATGTATATGTATCCTGAAATCAGGAATAGGTACGGTTTAAAGAGCTCCTTCTGTACTTCACTGGCTCTCCAGACGGTGGTTCTATTTGAGGCAACACCTAAGACACATTGTTCTGGGTTACTACAATAACTGGGACATAGCCTAACACAATTTAAAGTACAATCATTATACAAATTGAGGACACGAGCGTTTCCAGTTAAACTCTTTTTCACCTTCTCTGAGCACCTACAGCACACTGAAGTCCTATACTCCTTATGTCTCAAAGCTATGATACTACAAGTAACGGCAACTGTTAAAGGTCACAACTTGACAGTGATCCATACCTTGTACTCCTGTAATAAGAATGTACCTGCACAAAATACTATTACTCCTACCAAGCATAACAAGTCTCAAAAAAACACCATCATTCATGGACATTCATACTGCAAGTGTATGGTTTCTGTATGTTGGGGTGTTTTTTTTCCTGTGAACAGGACTCTTACTCTGTAATCATACGTAGCATCTGGATTTTCATCACAGGCAATAACTTCTGGAGCCATCCAGTACGGAGTTCCAATAAAAGTGTTTCTCCTGCCAACCGTCCTGTCCAGCTGAGCGCTCACACCAAAATCCACTGCGGGTGGGAAAAGAGTAAAATAAAATAAGAGGGGAAAAATAATGCAGTGATTACTTCTGTAAGGTGATTCGGAAATAAAACTCTGTGGACGTTCCACGTGGGAGGACCACGCTGAGGAGAAATATGATGATTAATAATACTGAGGGAACTGAGCCTTTGTGGTTCACATGCAATGGGCTTGGGTCACAAGTGTCAAGGGACACGGCAGCGTATGACCACCTCTCCTGCACCTCTCACCAGCTTGCCTGTACAGAAGGGAGCGTACAGCTGCAAAAATAATGCCTGGGGGGTTGTGGAAGGGCTATTCCCTTCCCAAATGGTGAAGCCAAGCACCTTTGCCTATACAGAAGGAGCTGCTTCCCAAAGGTATCTCTCATGCTATGGGAAAACCACATGCATGAACACCTCTCCCTTTCGGCTGTCCACCTTCTCTGCTCTAAAATCAGACAGCAAAAATAATCTGTTGCTCAGGGAATTGCTCTCTGCTCTAATGCACAAAGCAGATGCATCAATAGGAGCAAAAGATGAGGATTATTCAAGAGGTGCTAATTTTGAGCATACACACACAGAGGTTGCAAAAGAGATGCCCGTTTCATCACAAGGCAATTACATTACAATGGTGTTTTCTTCCCTTCAGTTCTCCCTGCTCACGACCACAGTGATATATGTCTTTCTATACCAGTAACTGCATCTGCTCTCAGAGGGCTGTGTCAGCTTCACTGCATCCATCATCTGAGCAACACTGACAAACTGGTGTAGATGAGCTCGCTGGGAGCAATGATCTGGGAGCTACTGTGCTCCACTTTGGACCAAATGGAAAAACGCTCTCCTGAGAGCTTCCTCCTCCAGCAGCCGGGACATCTTCCCATGCCTCGTGCTGCAGGAAGGTGTAATGCAAAACAGAAGGGATGTGGGCTGGGTGGGAGGGCTTCAGCATGGCTCTATATTTAACCAAAAAAAGGTGGTGAGTGTAGCGTGATACAAACACAGAAGGTTAAAGTGTGCAGTAACTGGAAGAGACAGATTAGAGAGGAAAAAAAAAAAAAAGAGTACGTCCATTTGGAAGGGACAGAAGAGACCAGGCATGAGCACAGTATTCAGCAGGCACGCCAGAGCTGGAATTGCATTTTGAACTTGATGCCATAGTTACCTTGAGAGTGCCGTCGAGATCGTATTTTGTGTCTAGAACCTGAACATCAGGTGCTATTTTAATTAAAGCCAAATACAAGAGAGACTCTTGACAATTCCTGGGTCCAGAATAAAGGGAATCAGAAGGAACTCAAGTCACGCACAGCTCGGTAGGGGAAAGAAAATGATCCCCTCACTGATTCTGGCATGAAAGCCAACATCTTCTAACAAAATGCAACTGCAACCTGCAATCCGTCCTCCTGAAGCAGGAGGAAATACGTGCAGGGCCTCGATCCACAAGGGAGTAGTGACAGAGTGCTCATGCTACAGAATATCTTGCAGGGCTCTTAAAGGATGAAACTAATTTGGGAACATCATATAACCAAAGGCTGAATGAATGAGGAAGTGGACGCGTGTGCCTACTTACCAAGTTTCACTTCTGCATTCTCTGTTAACAACACGTTTTGCCCTTTGATATCCCTGTGAATCACATGATGGGCATGAAGATGTGCCAACCCCTGCATTAAGGAGAAGAAAAGGAGAGGACGTTCAGAGATAAGTTCTTGGCTTAGCAGGTCACGCACACACTGAACCTAAATACAGCCAACATCTGCACTGTGCAAACACCTCTCAGCTGTCACGTGAAGAAAAGTTCAGCTCCCAGAAAGTCTCCATGCAATGACGCTGTAAATGACATCAGCATCACTGTACGTCACTGACGTCTGACACACACAGGGTCACCCAGATTTTAGTCCGGGGAAGGGGGGTGAAGGGAGAACAGAGGCAGCATCAACATACGTATATGCACCCCCGAGAAGGAGGTGGGAGGGTGACGGACTGGTGGTTATGTTTGAGGGTGAGGAACGACGGACGACAAACAAAAGCTCTGCTGCAAAGCCACAGTTCTCTTCTCTAGCCTCCATAAATATGAAGCCAGATAATTGTTCCTCAGGAAAAAAAAAACACATACACACAAAAAAAAAAAAAGCATGAGCACTATACTTTCCAAAGGAAACAAAACCTCCTGGCATACGGTGCTTTTTGTTGAGGCAGCACCTGGACGCATGCCCCAAAGCGTTAGCCATGTGGAGGGAGGGCTGAGGAAGACATATGCTGCATTTTACTCTCTAATGTAATTGGGAGAACAACAGGCAACTCTCTTAGCAACTGCCTGTATTTTGGTTTCTCCTCAGCTCTCTGCTCGGAAAATTGTAGTCTCCGGTGGGATCGTCTTGCCTGTTCGTGTTGCCCTCATAGGCTTTTAATGTTTTATGAAAAGTAAAGAAATAGAACCTTTACAGCTGCAAGAGGTTAAGAGGGTAGTGGTTGCTGTAGAGAAATATTTCCTAACACATGTTCTTCATTAAATGATCATTTACCAGTTTGCCTACACAACCATGGGGCTTTTTTCTTTTTTTAAAACAGTTAATGAGCGTGACAAAAAAAATACCATCCACAGCTCCTCCTCACACATGTCACAAGCAAATCAGGTGAACAGCTGATGTCCCCGAGACCCTTTGCTGGCTGCTAATACTACAGTGTGGTCTTATTTTTCACAGGAATGAAGGCTTTCCCACAGCTTCACACAGGATACTTTTTTAAAGCCTTCTGCTATGCTGACCCAGCCAGAGAGATAATCGTCTGTTCTCTCCAGAGTACCATCGAACCTTACTGAAAACACACATTTGGGCTTGCGAAGGGGCAGGCGGAGACAGAAGGGCACGTCCCCATTCTCCTGCAGTCCCCAGGCCCCTCCAACCACACAGGGATCCACTGGGTCGACCCTCACCTGTGTCTCCACCTGCACCAATCTTTGGCACTTCAGCTCATTTTAACTTTCTGTTACACAACCTCTCTCCTCCACCTCTGACAAACTCGGTGTCGAATCAGGTTTTGCAATGTCTCGTAGCAATGTGAGCTTAGCATTCCTTTTTTCCAGATATTCCAGTTCCTGCTAGCAGGCAATTAAGGCTCCTTTTGCAAATCTCTCACAGGAATGAGAAAACAGCTTTCACCTAACCCTTTTCTGAGGTAAATAATTTTTTCCTCTTCTCAGCGAACCTGACTACTTTACCTAAGACGAATGCAACACAGGACGCAATACCTCCATGGTCACACAGTTCCCAAATCAAGCATAAGATCAGTCCTGCAGAAGTTAGCTTTCCTCATATCAAGGCATGCTATCCATTTGATTTGAAATACAACCATCACTACGTATTCAACTTTTCTACTCCCTCGTAAACAACTTAAAATGGGCCCAGCCCAAACACCAGCAGCCGGACTCTCTCCTAGCATTTGGAATTAGAGCAAGAGACCAGGATCGTACGTCTCCCTCCCTCCCCATCTTAAAAATCGCTAAGGCAGAGCAAATATGTAACACAACAGCAGCATTGATTTATGCAAGAGCCAGTAGTGGTTTCCTTTAACATAAAGCCCTTCAGAACTTCATTTATGATGAGGCAATTGAACAAACATACTGTGTAGTGGTATGGGTAGGAGGCAATTTGTTTTACAAAGAAGCAGGAGGAAAACCATACCAGATTTACTTAGCGCAGCAAACAAATGCCAATTCAAAAAAACACTTAAACTGTACCAACTGGAAATTAAATATGAAGAGTAATTTGTTAAAGCTTCGGTTTTAGAAAAAATGGAAAGTGGCATCCCTCTTCCCGAGGAACTTCCGCAGTGCGCAGCCACGTACGATGGAGCTGCTTGCTCGAGAGAGCCTGCAGGAACGTACAATACGCACGCACATCACAGCACAGAAGTCCTGACCGCTGGCCCCAGCCAACAGCTCCCTTCCTCCACAGACCCGATTAGGAGCAGAGAAAGACGGCTCCAAGCACATTTGGAAAAGCCCATTCCGCACCCTGTTGTGTTACAACACTCTTACAACCTCAGGCTTCTGAAAAACAGTGCCTTATGGACACGGCTTCACAGCTTCTGTGATAGGAAAGGTGAGGGGTTCTTCCGCTGGCTTCTCGTGACTAAAAATTGCTGTTTTCTGCAAGGCTGCTGTTACAATACAGTACAACTCACACCGAGTTAAGTGATGCGGAGCAGACATCTATCTGCTCCTACGCATTCTCCAAGCGATGACATGGCTAACGGGATTGATCAGAAACAGCTTCTTGCAGAACCTCAAGCTAGGCTACATCTCTGTACGACTGTTTCTGTGTTTTCCAGTGGAGCAGACTATTTTCCTTACCCGGAGAATCTCTCTGGAGATATACGCTATCCAGTCTTCTTTCAGAGTATTCCCTTTCGTGTTCTTCACAAGGTCTGTGATAGAGCCTGCTCCACAAAACTCCATAACAAGCTGCAAAACAAGTATCAGCATACAACCAACATTAGACACAGTTCCCAGCTGTCTAGCAAAGCAAAATAATAATCAGGTTGCAGCATTGATTTGGGAAACCCTGGTGAAGCAGAGAATATAATTTATTTTACATCTCTGCCTGGAAAATGGATTCAAACCAAATGTCTCCAATGTGTGTCAGACATATATGGAATATGTCTCACATTAGTTACCACATTTTCAAGGACTGATTTAATCACTGTAATTTAATGCTGGGAATCTGGATTTGCTCAGCTATGCAAAACGCATTAGCAGCAACAGCAGTAAGAGCACATCCAATGCTGAAGGAATCAAACCGATCACCCCATTGCAACACATCTTAATCTTTAACTCCCACTTATCTATGGAACAACATGCACTGATATCTCTACCCTGCCATGAGGTGGGATGAGAAATGTAATGAGTTTAATTCTCAAGTGCAGCTTTCTTTTTACAGCCACACATTCTTACTGCTTAGTTCATCTGCCTTGTTCCCATGAAACACGCTACTATCCACCTGGGAAATGGGGGGAAAAAAGTTACTTAAAGAGTAAACCCATTGCTAATAGCAAATCTTGGTACAGCCATTCTCGTAAGGATGCGTGATTAGCCTACGTGATTCACTTATCTATCTGCTCAGGCAAGCACCAAATTCTATTAGTTCGTCTTTCCATAATGTGATATTTCTGTCATCCTCAAATTATGTCCAAAAGGGAAAGACTTATGAACATGCTTGAGAATATCTGCTTACCCACAGTTGGTCGTCATGTCCTGGAGGACTTTTCTTAATGAAAGCACCATAGTAAGTTGCAATATTTCTATGATGAGAATATTTCTTTAGCATATTAATCTCCAGTTTGATTTCTTCCTCTTCGTCCTTTAGAAAAAACAAATAATAAAAAACATATTTTCAATATACCACATGCATTATTTATTTCCTCTTCTCTTTCACACAAGTAGATTTAAAAAAATTTCAGTTTATACCAGCATCATGTTCAGTAAACACATCCTATGTTCATGCCATCAAAATCCTGTTTACTGAGATAGTCCAAAACAGACCTTTACTTTCCCAAGTTTTCAGTAGTGCTAAAAAGCAAATGAAGGATGCCCTGGACTTCATCCAACGACGGAGCAGGACAGGATCTGTTTAAAAACCCTACGCTGGTAATATCTTAAGCAAAGACATAGCTAGCAGGCTTTTATTCTACGTAACCCAGAGAACCAGAAAACCGGAAAGATCTGTGAATTTATGACAGAGGAGTATTATTTCCATCTTCCTCATTTCTTCTCCTTTGATTTTGAAAATTGCAACCAGTTCTATTTAAACGCCAGACAGCGGCTCAGCAGCGCAGCCGGCCGCCGAAGCAGGCCCTCCGAGGCGGGTCTGCAGGAAAGCAGAGGTGGAGATCAGGAATTCCCCTTGCCGCACGGACAAGGCCTTCGCCTCGTGCACAAGTTTCCTCCTCCTCCTCCATCTGTCTCCGTGGAGGAAGAGCAAGTGCATCAGGAAGAGAGGGACCGGGAGCCCGGGCGGTAAACAGGATGCTGGGACACAAAGGCAGAGGAAGGATTTCCCCCCGGCTGCCCCCCTCCTCAGCAAGGTGCCAAGTTGAGAGCAGCTCAGGTGAAGGGAGGTCATCCCTTCAAAGAGCTGAAATGGGTAACGCTATGCAACCGCTCCTTAAAAACACCCACAGTCTGGTTTTGAAGTGACAGCAGGATGCATTGCATGGAAGGATCCACGCACGCTTTGAGCTGATGTCTGAGCGGGCAGCCAGCAGATAGAGAAGAAGAAGGAGCAGACACCATCCCACCCCCAGCTCTCTCCCACCACGCTTAAGACAGTGGGAGCCTTCACCTAGCACCTTGCAAGGCAACAAATGAAAAAGCAGCTGGTTTTACCCCTTTAGGCACAATCTTTACTCGTTCCACAATCTTCTAGCCTTACATATTCAGCGGGAAAATGTCTACCTTAAATTGATTCCAGGAAGAAACCGAAACCTCTGTTCCCTAGGGTGGCTGCCTGATGGAAACGGTAGCACATATTTTGATTATCCTGTAATGTCAAAGCTGATTACATGAGAAGATTTTAAGCCTTAAACTACCTTGCAATTTGTACCACGCTAGCAATCAAACATCCTATTCACGACACATGCAGATGTTAATACTAAGTACATGTTAACTATTTATACACACTGGCATGCATGGCTTTAACAAAAGAAACCACTCTGCTACAAAGCAAACAATTATTTCAAATACACTAATAGTGGGATGCGGTGCTTACCCATAAATTATTATGAAAGAATTCCGAAAAATGCACCAGGCATAAACTATTCTTAAAACTTCTCATGATGCATCTTTAAAGTAAAATACTGTGAATTTCTGGAACACTGAACAAAATAGTAAAATAATCTTGCAAATCAAAGTTCCCAGTGAACAGCAGCCCTTGGAAAAAGCGTTATCACAACAGCTTTTTGAACCAAAAGCTAACTCAGTGCTTCCTCAGTTGCTTCTGTTGTCCTTGCTGTTGTGTGATTTTTTCTTTATTTAGACCACATGCCAAAAAAAAAAGAAGAAGAAGAATACATGCTTCTACTAAAGACTGCCACACTGAATTTAAGCAGGAAAACTGTAATAGGAGCTTTGTTAAACTTAATGGTTTGGGACTTAATCACTAATAGGTTAATATGTATAATTGGATTAATCTGCTATTTTGTACTGACTTTTTATGTAAAAATTATTTCCTACCCTCAGCACATGAACACAATACCTTTTACAATATAATGGGCAGGATGTCCTAAAGGTTCTTCATGTTTATCTGTCGTAACAACAGCCAAAATGACAATGCTTAGGCAAGATCTAGTTCTGAAAAAATAAAATAATAAAAAAGCCACCCCAAAACAAGCCCAAACAACAGCAAAAGGCACACACAGACCCAGCAGACCGCAGGCAGGTACTGCTCGCTCAGTTTTCCTTCGTGGCTGTGTCAAGCACCTGCTCAATGACCTGCAGCAGCCCCAAGCATCTCCCTCAACTAAGGCCAATAATGGTCCTAAACTCCTATTTCAGCACTCATTGAGCATTTCTCCACCACACAAATACCATCTCACCTACAGTTCAATCCAGTCCAAATTCCAGCCTACAAAAATAAATGGATTCAGTAATTCTTGCCAGGCTTTGGAGGACTCCACTTATTTAGTGTGGATCGATAACTCCCTGGCACTGAGTCCTGAAGACTTTGTGGCGACAGGAACTATCATGAGGATTAATCAGCATGGAGAAGCCTGCAGTACCACTGTGGCACAGCAACTGGTGTAAGACCGAAAAAAAAATAAAAGAAAGGAAAAAAAAAAAAAAAAAAAAAAAAAGGGTGGTCAGACCAAAGTTGCTCTGTTCCAGATTCAGGAACATTTTTTTCCAGGGTACAATTGATTTCATCCCAATGTGGACATCTGAAAGAGGCCAAACAATGTGTGCCCTACCGGTGTTTACTTCTCCCCACTAATTACAAAAGGAGGATGAGGTCATTAGCCAAGATCCAGACACCAATCTTGCAGATGTCTTGCATCAGGGTGAGATGAATCCCACCCAAAAAATCTCTCCGGATTAGACCGTTTCCGCACAGGTCTCCTTACGGACACGTGTGCCGGCAGGAGGGGAGGCTGCAGCCTGCAGCAGGGATCCTCCCGTGCAGAGGGAGGTGTTTCGGTGGCCATCCTGGGGTCTGGCTGTGTGAGCCAGCCTCGGAGACAGAAGGTCCCTCAACTTCTCCCGACAACACACGTCCTGCACCACCACCACCACTAACAGTCCCTCCTGTTTGCAGAGGCATCAGGATCACAAAAGGAGAAAATTAAAACCGATTGAGACGAGAGACTCTCATTCTCATAAAGTAATACAAAAGTACATCCTTTTTTCTTGGAGGAGAGAGGCAGCTGGTGAGCCTTTCCTAGTGATTTTACGCAGCTGGCATCAATTACCACTTTAAGCCATTATCTGGGGCTACAAACTCCCATTGAAACCTTCTTTGTCTGGCCTGCGATGGGGCTGGAGTAAGTGTTTTATACTTACACATTCGCTGTCTGTTTGTGACAGCACGTCTGATTACCAGTAATTTTTGCAGCAAGCTATACTTTTGCAAGACTCACGTGGTTAAATCAAGCTTGGAGCGGCTTTCCTCTCCCTTTCCATGCGTTTCCCTTTAGAGATTAAATGGACATGTCAGCATCTCTAGGGATTTCTAACCACAATGCTGTTTACTTTGCCCGTAAGATTAAAAACCGCATAGGACGCCGGCACAGAAATCCACCTATGTACACTAAGATCATTTCTAACTATTTGAATTAGCACACTAAAAATAAAACCAGATGTGTTACCTCTCAGCATGCCACCTAGCAGCGTCCAGTCAGATTGCTTATGGCTGGAGCACAAAATCTCAACACCGCTTGCTCCTCCATTCATCATTGCATGCTAAATACCAGATTATTTATTTGTGCGCAGATGGCAAATCAATGACTTGTTATTTTCATTACCTCACCATTTACAAAATTGTGATGATTTAAGTATCTGAATGATTTAAGTATCTGACCATGGTTGCCACTGGAGTAACTCCCAGGCAAATAAAAGCTACTAGAGCAGATCCTTGTAAGGAATATTAATCTGGACAGCTCAATTATGCCATTTCAGCACGTTTTCCAAAGGTAACCCCCCCCTGCATCATTACTGCAAGAAAATCCAGCTGATTTACACAAATTCTTAGAAGATGAGGACTTCAGAAGTATTTTGCTGGACATCGTGGTAGGGAAGCAGAAGGAGGGAACTACAGCTCTAGAAGTGCCAGAAGCAGGGAGGACATAACCAAAGGAAAAGAAAAACCACTTTATGCCTGCCCTGTTTTTATATACTTCAACAAACATCGCTGTCTAGGTGCCTCAGGAGACCAAGCAAAACAGTCCCGACCTCCTCCTGCACTGCAACTGGTACAAGACTCCTACAAGAATCCATCTCTGAGAAACACACTTGGGGGTGTAAGGGGGGAAAAACATCGTTTCCCAAGCTCTATAGTACAAGGAAATTATTTCAGAAGCTGAATTAAAACAAAACAAAACAAAACAAAACAAAAAACACACAAACCAACAAATACCTAAAGGTACAGCAAGGAAGTATCCCAGGGCACGTCAGTGCTGCCTTTCCAGCCCCACTCCCCAGGGTGGAAGAGCTGCCTGGCCACTGCTCTTTGCTACTCGTTGGTTCTGCCCTCTCAAGGGATGACACAGCTCGGGGAGGAGAAATTGAGGACAATTTCAGATATTTTTTTTACCCCAGTAATACAATGAGGGGAAACGTGAATGAGAAAATACAGCCAAGCAAGGATAAAAAGCAAGGCAATGTTCTGTGATGAAGGTAAAAGCAAGTTTACCTATCCTGCCAGATGATTTATATGCTGCTCTAAATCAGTTTGCAGAGGAATACAAATTGGTCCCTTCAGTAACTTTCCTTTTTGATTTAAGAAACGAGATAGTGACAAATCTCAGCTCTCCCCGCACAAACGGTATCCAGTCATTTTAAGCTACAACCAAGCGTTTTAAGAATTACCACCACTCCCCAACAGCAGAAAGCCAAACATGCAGGGCAAAGGCAGATGGGGAAAGGGAAGCCTCCAAGTCTCCTTTCCTTTGCTTTTCCAATGCTGCTCACGAAGCTCTGCCTGCCTGTACCCAGGGAGCTGCGCTGCCTGGAGAATGGCAGCTGGCAACGCTCTTGCCCGGGGTTTCAGGGTAAGCTGAGCCGCTGAGGATCACGAGCTCCAGCGGTGACTTGTGGGATTTGGGAATCTTTAATTCACGGGAGAGCTGGGATCTGTACAGAGAGGCAGGC